AGGAGCATTACTGGCCTTACTTAAAACTGATGGCAGCAAGATTAGGGCTGGTGCCACTGTTCTGCCGTGGGAGGGGATGGAAGTTCTCTGTTGTGTTTTCTAGGAAGCCATGAGGCTTAACAAAAGTTATCTGTATGAATTTGTGAAACCACCAAAATAACACTGTTTTGTACTTGAGTATTAAGGTGCATTATCTCTAGATTATCTAGGTGTTACAAATTCAGCTGTAAGTTTTACACCATCCTAATACACATCAATCCTGTGGAGTCTTGGAGTGCTGATTCTTTCCCTTGACTCCAGTTCCACCTCCCATTAAAAAAAAGTGACTAATTCCAGCTCCTGCTTCTGAAGGCTGGTGATAACAGAGTGTTCTTGCTGTCATGGATTTGACAGCACAAAGAGCAATCTCAGAAGGATGTGGCACACTGAGCTGTGCTTTGCCATGCAAGAGTAGAGTCCTGCTTACCTGAGAGCCCACAGTGAGCAGGGCAGGCATGGGGCATGCTAATGTGACTTGGGAAGTAACAGGAAATGCTTAATCAAGCAGTATCAAACTTTTATTTTAGGGAACCAACTAAAAAATTAATAATTAAATGTGTAGTAGTAGTAGTAATAATGGGTAATTATAATAGCTTTCTAATCCAAAGTTGAAATCATTGCTGAACCAGAACTTCCCTAGTGTATCTTTCCAAAGAAAAGGGAGAAGAAAGAGTGAATTAAAGAGAAAAAAAAAAAAAAGGAATATGGAGGAGTCCAGGAAATCACAGCAAAGTTGTGGTTTAGGCCTGCTTGACAATGTTTATATTTGATTATTTTACTTAGGTGAGTAATTTATGCTGTGGAATACTATGTGTATTCCCTGTCTGGCCACTGGTATCTTGTGTATGCTGCGTGTGGGTAGGGGTGTAAATAGGCCTGGGCGAGTCTCAGCCCTGAAGTGCATCTTCACCAAACAGCACTAATGCTTTCAGCATCAGCTGGAGAATTACGACTATGCCATGGTCATGTTTTTAATTTTCAGCCTCGCAGGGCTGTTCAAGTGAGTTCACTCGCTTGGAGTGAATGTGCGGGCCAGGGAGCACTCTGTCAATCTTCCTCCTCTCTGCAGCTCCCAGGTTTGCAAAGCAAACCCAGCCTGAGTCTTGTCTGCTGGAACTGCACCCTGGGCTCCTGTTTGTGTCTGCCCTGGCAGGGCCAACAGCACTGAGAAGCAAGTTGGCCATCTGACAAATTCCCCTCCCTGGGAAGGAGGGCAGCTTTGTGTGCTGCAAAATTCCAGAGCTGGTACTTGGGAGAGAACACGAACCAGCTGGCTTTGGCAGAGATGCATGGCACAGAGGGAGGATTTTTGCCACAAGGGCAATAACCCCTTTCTGGCTTCTCTATGTGCATTTCTTCCTGTCCCTATATTTTAAGGAATTAATATATTTTTAATGCCCTCTCTAGTAGAAAAGAGATCTATTTAAAGGACTTCTGGAACAAGTCTCAAGTAGTAAGTTGAACAGTAAGAATGACTTCTCCCAACTGCCTTTGGATTTGTTCCCTAGTCAGGGAGACAGAATGAATGCAGGGAATCCTTCAGGCAAGTGAATGAAGAAGAGGGAAATGAAGTCAACAGTAAAACTGGTCATGGTAACTTTGGAGCATACAATCCATGTGTTCCCTTCCCCCTCTCCACAGACTTAAATTAGGGATGAGGCTGGAATGCAGGGGATGTTTTCTTTTCCACCACCAGCACTAAACAGTGCATGGCATTTTGCTCTCACTCTTTTCCTGGGGTGTGAAGTTGTGGTATCCTGTGTTGGAGCTTTCCTCTGCACACAGACATGTGGTCACTCTGCCTTAAGCTCGTTAAACAGCCTTCCTGTTCACTTTGGGATTAACACCTCACTATCTACCTTCAGAAATAAATGCACAGTATCTCAGGACTCTGGATAAAGGAGTAAATCCAAATCACAAGCAGTGGGCTGTTGGTGGGATGACTTGGTGCATTGTGGAGCTGTTCAAAATATTTGAAGCCTTGGAAGAGCTTTTGTTTTCTCTCCAGTGTCCTTCATTGTTTGACTGGGGTTTTTTCCCAATGATGAAGTACATAATTCCAAAACAAAATCATTATTGGAAACAATAATTTCCAATCAAAAGCCATAAATTTCTGTCATTAGCTGTGACTTGAGCTGGAGTTTCTGGAAGTTGCATCTATTCAGTAGTTTGTAGCAATGAGGTTTTGCCTTAGCCTGGATTGGAAAGGACCAAACAACCCACGAGTGATTTCCATTTAACATCTGCAGGTTCTCCTGGCCAGATACTCTTCCTCTCTCTAGGAAAAGTGGCTCAGGTATATTCAGCAATTGTGCATCAAATTCAAATATTTCACTGTCTTTATTTCTCATTATGTTTATCCATTCCTCTGCTGCTTCCTCAGTTTGAGGCTGTTTGGGCTTCCACGGATTTTAATATTAATCCTAAAAGTTGGTTTCTTAATGTTTTTATTTTGAGACAGTTTCTGAAGTATTCTTGGAATGATGATTGATGTTTAGTTGGATGAAAATAGCTTTTCCAGGCTGATCAACTGAGGCTGTGGTCTCCACATTAGGTCAGCAAATTTGGTTTTCACTCACCAGGACAGAATTGCAAACCTGTAAATAATCTGCTCTGCTTTATGGACGAGATGATTTTGAGTTGTTCCTTTGGAAAATTACAGAAATGGTGTTTTGAGCCACTGGGAACATATATAAACAATACTTTCTAAATAATTTTAAAATGCTTTTTAAATGTTACAATTCTTTGTTCAGTCCACTTTGGTCCACTTGTGAAAACACTCTGATTTACTTGCTCTCTGCTTAGGCAGCAGATCAATGTGATTCCAAAAACTTGCACAGAAACCTTTTGGGTCTGGTGAAATAAAGACTCTCTTTGTTCCTGCCATGATTGACGCGCTGCTGCAGAGTAGGTGACATGTTTTGCCTACCAAGCGTGTTTTCTAAGCAGAGTTTATATAAAGTTCATGGAACATTAAAATAGATAGCCTCTTCTCTACTAATAAAATCCCCTTTATTATATTATTGGAAACAAAGTTAGTACAAAATTGCTTTTCAGGTTTGTCATGGGCCTTCTGGAATGAAGTCATCAAATTAGTTTTCTTTTGCTGGTTTGGATTGATGAAGCTTGTTTATTCCCTTTTTCCATAGACATTTGGACAGTGGTAAAACTTCATCACAATCCTTTCTTTAAAGTTTCAGAAAACTTGATGGTGATGGTGCACATGTTCTGCATTCACTGCAACATGTGGAGGGCCCCTAGAGTGTGAAAGTGTGTTTAAGTATTTGTCACTGAGTTTTTCTTGTTCCAAACACTGCTTTTAACAGGGGAAAAGGCATTTGAGATCTGTTGGATTCCTTTCTTCTTCTTTTTTAATTTGAACTGGTTCTCTTTCCAGTGCACTGGCCCAGTGGCCTTAGAGCCTTAACTGAAGCTTTGAGATGTGTTGGATTCTTTTTCTACTCCCGGTCAAAGTCAAACACGGTGTTACAATTTTTTTTTTTTTTTTTTAATTGGCTCCTCTGGTTTCTTGGACTGCTTGGTTTGCATCTCCCTCTTTCTGCACATTGGTGAATTGTTTACCTCTATTCCCCATTCACCTGGAAGAGGTACCTGTTAAATACCATATCTGCATCTCAGTGGTTTGCATATTGAGCCTTACAGATGTGAGATAAATCATCTTGGTCACAAATAGAACGACTGGCTGAAGTAACTGCTGCCTCCCAGGATGAAAAAATTCTAAGTACTGGAATTAAATTTTGTGTGTGTGATCTGGATCCTGGTTCAGTGAGGTACAGGCTGAGGTTGTATTTCTGTCCCTAACTCTGTTTGGAGACTTTCCAGCCTGTATAAGCAGTGCCAGGTGACAGTGGCAGGAAGGTTGGTGGGGGAATCTCTTGGGCAGTTCGTGCTGAAGAATACAAAACTCTGTGGAGCTGATGTTTGGCTCTCAGTCAAGCAGGTATTGATCTTGTTTGAGTCTAAAATGTTATGAATGCAATGGAGAAAAAAGAAAACATCCCACAGAAAATTCTGTTTATCTACAGCTGACTGGCATGAAATGTCCTCAAGACTTGTGCATGTAAAGCTCTCAAGTAGTTTCTCCAGCAGAAAATTAGATTTATAGAGTTGTGTTGCAATTTGGTGTTTCAAAAATGGTTTGGCTTCTGATTCAACTATTTGGGAGTCCAAGGAGCATTTGTACCTTTGGAAATGTGAATGGGTGGGCTTGAGCTTCAGTTGTAATTTGTCCTTTCTGATGTATGAACAGCTCAGTTTGATACTATGGATTACTGTTCTTGTCAGTGTATATTCACAATTTAATTTTAGCGCTCCCTATAAAAACACTTGTGGTAATGCAAACCTCCTTCATCCAGAAGAGCTACTGATGTTTTCTGGAGTCTGCTGAGCTTTGTTCCTGGTTTTCTGCAGCTGTTTATTCCATGCATTCCTTAGACACAGATATCTGAATTTTTCTCCCATTATACCTTTTCCCTTTAAGTTATCACTTTTGTACTGAGTCCTTAAAAAAAAAAATAAAAAAAGGTGCTTTGAGGTCATACGGATAATGATTGTGTCTAAATCATGCATTAGGAAAAATTGAAACAATAAAGATACACAATTTCTCTAGGAAGGTGTAGTCTGTATTATCTAAAGTAGAGCCAGCATAGAAAAATCAGTTCTAAGAAGTTGAGGATATTAAACCTTTAAGAACAAAGTAAAGCACAACGCCGTGCTTGTAGCTCTGGCATGGTGATCTATAAATGCTTCTCAAATGTACAGCTTTAAAAACTACTGTAATTTTTTGGAAGAAACTTCTTCTTTCATTTTATGGATGTCCTTCAACTAAAGTATGATGTTTTTTATTGGTTTGTGTTTTTTTTTTTTAATTGTGCCTTTCTTGGCCACTTGGTATTTAGAAGAATGATTAATCTGTGGGATTTATTTTTGTTGTTCTGCAGCGGATATAATTTCTACAGTAGAATTTAACCATTCTGGAGAGTTGTTAGCAACAGGAGACAAGGGAGGGAGAGTTGTCATCTTTCAACAGGAGCAGGAGGTGAGTGCTGTCTAATTACACTGTATTACATGTTCTTTCTATCCCTTTTTGAGACAAGGAGGATGTTACTATAAAACCCTTTACACAAAGTGCATGCCTATGTGATAAGTGATTACAATACTGAAATTTAATGAGAACATTTTGATAGAAGTTATTTTAAACACACTTTGGTTGTGGTCTGAAGAATGTGGAAAGTGAAAGCCAAAAAGGGGTAGGACACAAAGACCCTTTGGGAGCTGAAGTTGGTTCTTGCACAATGACTCTTCCTGGCTGTGACGATGACTTCAGGTTTCACTGTAGCTGGGGATGTTAAAAGTTGCCCTTAAGTAAGTGTGTGACTGTGACCTCAGATGTCCTTTTCCACTCTGGTATCAGTCAGGTAAAACCACTGAATCCCCATAGCAGAGGTATCTTTTCTCACTTTCTCCTTGTTTTTTGCCCTTTAGGCTTTCCCTCCATGTCAGTGGGCAGGTGAGCTGCAGTGCCTGATTTTAACTGAGACTGTAGCTGGAAGCTGCTGTGCTTAGAATGTATTCCAGAGAGATGTCACCTCGCTGCCTTGAGATGTTCATTTTTGTTTCGTTTTTCCTTCAATTTCCATTTTAAAAGTCCCGAAGTTTGGGATTTCCAGTTCCCGGAGCAGGGGCTGATGTGTGGGCAAGGCACGGTCTGTCTGCCAGCAGCTCCTCTGGGTCAGTGGGGACATCTAGTGGGGCTGCGTGGCACCAGCTCTTGGGGTGTTTTGTGGCTTTTTATTGTTTTCCTTTTATTTCTTTATTACTTCTAATTCATGAGTTGTAGCTTGATGCATTTAAGGATCCTCTTGTGTAGCTTAGAGTTGCAGCAGTTCCTTGCCTGCTCTCAGGTGAGCTGCATTTAAATGACTCCTTGGGTTTTGGAGCATAATCTAAGCTCACATCCTTAGCAGCTGGGATCCAGGGGTAGGAAAAGCACCTGGGTTGTCAGATGAAATTCCACAGAATTGTTTTTGGCATTTTTTGGCTTCCCTGTGTTTAGGGAATGATTTGATTTTAGGGACTTACTTCCCTGATGCACTGGTAATTGGTTGTTCCAACAAACTGTCTAGAGCAGGTTTTATATGTGAAAGTGTATAAAATATAAGTGCTTTATTTGGATTTCTGTGCCTCTTTCTGCCACACGGCACTGGAGAGCTTTGCAGACCACGCCTGCAGGAAGAGAAACACTCACAGGGCTGTGTGAAGAGCTGTGCAAACCTGTGTGGCTGCACCCACTGCCAAACTGCTGCCACCTCCGGGCTGGAATGTGGCAGCCAGTGACATCAGCTCAGTGCCAGGCAGGAAGTGAATCCTGCAGCTCACAGAAACTGAGGAGGAATTTGCGTAGGCACTGTGCAATTACCTAAATTGGAGTTTAACATCAGCAGCTTGGGCCAGCACTTGTTTGGAATTTTTATTTTTTTTTTCCCTTTGAGCACCCTGAGACTGAGAGTTTAAATTTTGATTTTATCCCAAGGATGGATTTCACATATTACTGGGTTTAGGTATTATTCTGGTTCTGTAAAGTTTTACTGGAATACACACATAGAATATTTAAGCCTCAGTCATTAAGTCAAGTCTGGAGTTGAAGGAAAGTTCCCAGTTCCCTGGATTTCCTAAGGCATTTCCTACAGCACAGTAGATTTCCTTTCCAAATAGTTACATGCAGTGACCCAGCTTCACTTGTTAGTTCTGACTGAGGTTTAGAACAAAGTCCCTTCCATTCTCCAGGCTGGGAAAAGCAGTGTAAGGGACAAGTGTGGTACAGAATTCTGGTGCCAAATGTGATTTCTAAGCATTTTTCCCCCTTAACCCTTCCCCACCCCCAGCTTACTTTAAAGTGTAGGAATTGCTGCTAGCTCTCAGGGTATGAAGCACGAGAAAATGATGCAAGGAATGTGACAAATGTGGGTCAGCAAGGGTTGTATCAGATGTGTTTTGGTGAGGTACTGAGGGATTAAATGAACCCAGGGACGTGAGACACCAGAGAAGGAGAGAAGGAAGGAGCAAAGTCCCCAGCCAGGAACATATCACAGCAAAGGCATCTGATGGTGCAGTCTCTGCAGTGGGTGGGACAGGAATAAATCACAAAATTCAGCTTGAAACCACTACAGGTGGACATGGGGAGTACTACACTAGAAATGGATCCAATTTTCTTCACCCAGAGGATGAAATTCAAGGTTTTGAATATTTTGGTGCCTAAGACACAGCTTTTGGAAAGAGGAATTGTGCAAATTTTTCAGTTTGCAAACATTTCCACCTGGACAGGTAACTGCAGGGGAGACTCCAATGCCAGAGCAGAGGCAATGAGCTTTTTGCCCTTTAGAATGAGGAAGAAAAAGCTGCTTAAGCAGTTCAGAAGCTCTCAGGGGACTTTGGAGATTATAAACCAGAATAGTGGAGGTGCTGGTATAAATTTAGAGGTGCCATGTGGGATTTCTATAGTGTGCCTGGAAAGCTGAATGTACTCACAGAGAAGATTTGCCATTTGTGTGTCTGTGTTGCAAGGGAAGGAGTATTCCCTTTAAACAGCAGAGGTGGAAAAATTAAAGATGTAAGAAGTTGTAGTTTTGTTTTTTTCTTAAATAAAATATTTAGGTAAAATACTAATTTGTTCAGCTGCTCAGCATTAATGTGAAAACTTGTTGAAGATGTTATTCACATTCTGTGAGGAATTTCTGGAAACTTAAAATGCTGCATAAACTCTCTTCTCTGATGTTTTTGTAGTCAAAATAGTAGAAACTTTATTAAATTTCTTGCAACAGAGATGATGCTCATCTCATTTGGTTGACAGGATCATGAAAATCAAGCAGATTGTACCCCAATGTACATTGTATACATGTCTTGATCATTTAATTCTCTTTTTAGAACAAAACCCAGTCTCACAGTAGGGGAGAATACAATGTTTACAGTACCTTTCAAAGCCATGAACCAGAGTTTGACTACTTGAAAAGTTTAGAAATTGAAGAGAAGATCAACAAAATTAGGTGGTTACCCCAGAAAAATGCTGCTCAGTTTTTATTGTCTACAAATGGTGAGTATTTTGCACCATAGCATGTTATTATGTAGGTTTGCTATTAGGATTTGGTCTAATCCTCTCCAAAAGGCTGGAATCAAGCAGGGTTTAACTGCAGGGATCTGGGGATGTGGTTCTGGCTTCTCTGGGCACAGGTGTCCCCAGCACAGGGTGGGGTATTTGGGATTTAGTTGCTTTACAGCCTGTGTGAGACCTTCATGTGGATATGAGTCCCTGTGTCAGAGCTTACATTGATCATTCGTAGCAATCCCTGTCCTGACTGAAACTTGCCATAACTCTTATAAAAAGAACAAACTGTGGAGGAGGTTTTTTAATGCTTTTTATCTTGTCTTGTTTTCCTCAAGCACCATTTTTATCTCTTTTGGTGCACGTGGGCGGCCTTGTCTTGTTTGAAGGCATCAGCAGTGATGACTGGTGTCTCTCCACAGCTCTCATTTTAAACTGTGGCTGTTTCATTGCAGATAAAACAATAAAGTTATGGAAAATCAGTGAAAGGGACAAAAGACCCGAGGGTTATAATTTAAAGGAGGAGGATGGACGGTATAGGGATCCTACTACAGTTACAACACTACGGGTGAGTAGCTCACAATCAGCAAATTCCTCCTCTCCCAGCCCATGGCTTCAGGAGGAGCCACCCTATCAGATCACTAATTAAATCTTTCTTGTGATGTCACTTGGCAGAAATACTGACTTTTTAAGAGATTTCATGCAGCTCAGGGTGTTGGAGAACTGTGCTGAGCGGTGCTGATGTCTGTGGTAGGTTTGGATCTCACTCTTGCCCTGCTCTGTGTGTTGCAGGTGCCAGTGTTCAGGCCTATGGACCTCATGGTGGAAGCCAGCCCACGAAGGATATTTGCCAATGCCCACACGTATCACATCAATTCCATCTCCATCAATAGTGACTATGAAACTTACCTGTCTGCAGATGACCTGCGGATCAACCTGTGGCACCTAGAAATCACAGACAGAAGTTTTAGTATCCTTTTGCCATTTTTCTGTGGGAGCAGGAAAACTGTTGGGTTTTATTTCCTTTCATGAGAAGTGTTTAGTATATATACAGAGAATTAATCTCCATTAATCCTGGTTATTTCTCCCTAGTAATTGTAAGGGCTTTTGCTTCTGGAGAAGTGGTTTGGTTTGGAGGGGACATTAAAGCTCATCCAGGTGGGCAGGACCAGGTTGCTCCAACCTGGCCTTGGACACTTCCAGAGATGGAGCAGCCACACCTGTGTCACATTTTTAATACAAAATAGCATTTTGTAATGTAGCAGTACAATTATAATTTAAGCAAAATAAAGTTCTGTATGAAATACTTGGGAGATAATTTGTAGTATAAAATTAATTACTACTGGAGTAGAGCAAAACTTTTGCTGCTATAAGAATGACCTTGAAACTGATTCAGAATGTGATGTTACCACCTTGCTTTGTAGACAAATTGTGTGGCTTGATTTTAACTCTTACTTGTGTTGTACCTGGGTCCCACAAGCCTGAAGTAGCTTTTCTGAAAGTGTCTAAAACCGAAAAATACCATGAGAAAAACCCATTTTGCTGGAGGCAATTCCTTAACGAGCTGCTGCAGATATTGTAGATATCAAGCCTGCCAACATGGAGGAGCTGACAGAGGTGATCACAGCTGCAGAGTTCCACCCCAACAGCTGCAGCACGTTTGTCTACAGCAGCAGTAAAGGCACAATTCGCCTGTGTGACATGAGGGCATCAGCCCTCTGTGACAGACATTCAAAGTGTGAGTGTCTCCCTGTGCCAGAGCACATTTGCTGTTAGAGTATATCAAACACTGAATTGTCTCTGTAGTATATTGAACAGATCTAAAGCCTAAAATCAAAATAAATCTTAAACTAATGTTTTTCTGGAGTAAAAACAGTGAATGAGTAGCAGCTTCTGTTTGGACACCAGGAATGGCTTTTTGCGGATTTCAGGTGGTTAAAGGTCATTTGGTCTGTACTTGGTGCTGGAAATCCTGGATGTGTGAATCAAGACTTCACATATTACCAATTTATTTATTAAGAAGCTGACCTTGTCTTGCTACAACAATAAGAGAGTATGGCAACTGTATTACAGGTGTTTCTCCTTAAAAGTTATTTTATATAACACAGAGTAACACAAGGTAGAAAGCTTCTTGAGACAATGTTAAAGTAATTCAGGTGTATGTTGTATCAAAGAGACACAAACTGACCTTTTGAAATGCCTGTCTTTTTTTCTGGCAGTGTTTGAAGAACCAGAAGATCCTAGCAACAGATCATTTTTCTCTGAAATAATCTCTTCCATATCTGATGTCAAATTTAGCCACAGTGGTCGATATATGATGACTAGAGATTATCTGTCAGTGAAGATCTGGGATTTAAATATGGAAAATAGACCTGTGGAAACATACCAGGTACTGGGTGAAAATCATGTGGGTTGGAAATCAAAAAACCTGGACAGAGGCTGAGTCTTACTGATAGTCTTGATGTGGCAATTACAGTTTTGTCTGTAGATTCAGGCAGAGCATCCTTGAGGTTTGGGGATTCCACACTCCTGCTGAAAGATTGTGGTATTTGCAGGGTGGTGGCAGAAACCAAACCTGTGTTTGGGGCTGAAAAAGCCTCCCTCTTACCCAGTGGGAATTTGGGAGGTGGAGAGGTGATCTCCAGCCTTGAGAACCATGACAACTCTTTGGCTGTCTTTATGTTCTGTGTTATATCCTGAAGAAAACAGGAGGTGAAACATTTCCTTTTCATAAAATGTTTTTAGTTGCCACTGAAAATTGCTGTTTCCTTTATAAGAAAGAACTCTTGTGGGCAGTCTCAGGTTCCTTGCTTTTGGAACAGTCTGGGGAGGCTGTTTTACAGGTGTTTGAGTCTAATGCTCACTCAGTTTCTCTGATCCCTCTTTTCCAGGTGCATGAATACCTCAGAAGTAAACTCTGCTCACTGTATGAGAACGATTGCATTTTTGACAAGTTTGAATGCTGTTGGAATGGATCAGACAGGCAAGTGGAATTCTTATCCCTATGCACTTCAAATCTGTCCAAGTTATTCTTCAAATGTGCAGTGGACCTCAAATGCCTGGTTTTGGACAACGCTGTAGTACTTCAGTAGACTATAATGTGCATTATTAACTGTAAGAATCTGCACCAGACCTCCAGGGGAACCCGTGGGAAAACCTTCCAGGAATGTTCCCTTTTACACGGTAGTGACCACTTAGGACAGCTCTTGCTTCTGTGCTAATCATGTCATTAACTGCTTATTTGCAGTATTTAAAGCAGCTCATTGGTTCCCTGTCAGTACTGTCAGACATTGTGCTTTTTTTTTTCTTTTATTGATGCTGGATCTGGCATCTATCTGCTCAAATATTTTTTGAGGCAAAGGAAAGACAAGGAAACTTGTAAGTGTATTTTTCTTACAGAATCAGGAACTCTAAGGGATTTTCACAAACTAGATGTGCTGCTTAGTACCTAAATTTGCACAACTTGTGTATCACTAAAAATGCAATGTGTTAGGGGTTTGTTGGATCTCTCCTCTGTGTGTGTGTAAAAATAAATTAAATAATGACATTCAAGGTGCTTTGATAACAAAATACCTCAAAGGGCCCTGGGAAGGAAAAAGGGTATTTTTGGGAGGTTTTATAACTTTAAAACATTTCAGTACCTGCTTCCCTTTAGCTGTAGCAGGTGTGGGTGAGGCCACCTCCTTTCCACTTGGCGTGATCTCAGTTGAGACCCTTCGGCTTGCTAAAAGGAGAAGGAATTCCTAACCACCATCTTTCTTCCTTTCCCCTTTGTGCAGCATTGTCATGACAGGGTCTTACAACAACTTCTTCAGGATGTTTGACAGAAACACCAAGCGAGACATCACCTTGGAGGCGTCCCGGGAGAACAACAAGCCCCGCACGGTGCTGAAGCCGCGCAAGGTGTGCGCCAGCGGCAAGAGGAAGAAGGACGAGATCAGTGTCGACAGCTTAGACTTCAACAAGAAGATCCTGCATACAGCCTGGCACCCCAAGGAGAACATCATTGCTGTAGCTACCACAAACAACTTGTATATATTTCAAGACAAGATGAATTAGGGTTGGCATTCCTAACTGAAGAGTCACTTCCTGCATAGTTGAAATAGTTGAATCTAGCATTTGTACCTGTAACAAAAGCAAGTGAGAGGTCCATTATGGCACCCCTTTCCAGTGTTTAAAAATGTGCCATATGACAACACACTTTTATAGCTCCATGGAGAAGGCTCTGTGGCTCTGTTGTCTCCGTATCTGCTAGCCATTTAGGTGAGGATAGGGCACTTTTTAATTTAAATGACTACTTGCACCATCTTGCCTAATGGACTAGACTGGACTGTCTCAACATCGGTTTACTCCACTTTTTATGCCTTCCATTGTGATGACGTCAGACACAGGGAAAGCCTTCAGTCATGCTATGGGATTTAATTGTGTAACCTCATTACTGTATCATTCGTGGCCCCCTTTTTTTATTAAATACAGCTCATTCTTGCTGTGGCTTGTAGCATTCCTCCTTCTGGCCTCCTGGACTCCCCCTTCTCCCTTCATCCCCCCTCCACCTTGCCTCGGTGGTGGTGTATGGAAAAAAAAATAAAATAAAGCACATAAAATGGGTCCGTTTGGGGTCAGTGGTAAAGGGGGTCTGTGTTGCAACAAATGTTTTAATAAACAGTTGACTGTAATCACTCCTTGCCATGTCTGGCACCAAAAAAGAGAAAATAAGGAAAAAAAACAAACTACTGAATAAAAGTGACAAAGAATGGAGAATCTGTTTTCTTTTTTTTTTTTTAAATCTACCTCTTTATACAAATACTCTGTGTTTTACCTTAGATGCATGAAAATAAAATTATGTTTTTTGTAATTATTTTAACCAGTATTAATTATTTTTCATGGGAATGAAGAGAGGGAGGGATTTGACAGGTACCTGTATTCCTCCTGAGTAACCTGGGCACCAGCCAGTGTATGACCTCTTCCATCTTGGCACCACAGCTGCTGTCAGCTTTTGATCTGAGCAGTCCCTTCCTGTGTCCTTGAATACTCCTCTTTTTAACCTGTTGCTTTAATCAGAAAGGGAATAGAATCTTCAGGTTTTAAATTCCATTTTTTCAGACTGATGTCTTAATGTTTAGTTTCATCCTGGTTTCTTCAATGCCTTGTTTTAGGATAAAATACCTTTAATGCCTTGTTTAGAGCACCAAGTCCCTGTGGCTTTGTGAGAAGTTGTCTGAGCTCCTGTGTGGTGTTGTGTAGTACCAGCCAGCACCATGGTTCCATAGCTAATGCCTGCACTGCGTTTGCTGCTCTGTTTCTGTATTTATTGCTAACTGGAAATGTAGTTTTAACCATGCAAATGTTTTCTTCTGGCTTTTGGCTTTGCAAAGTTCCTGCACTCAATAGAAATGTTCACTGGTGCAAGGAACCGAATACGTGGAGTACAGAAGCTGCATGAAATAAGTGTTCATAGTGATGTGAGAGATTTCAGCTCCTCAGCACATAAGGCTTATCCAAAGATGAACTGATGCTTTATAAGGCTCATGAGTTTTTACTTCCAGTATTTTTGCTAAATGTGCATTTAAGTTTTGCTCCTCCTTCATGGAAATGTTCAGTGAAGTTTGAATTCGTGGCAAAATTACCTTGACTGGGAGAATTTTTGCTTTTGTTACCTGTATTTAATTATTTCTGTGGCTTAGAGGTAGTTATTAAAATGACGTTATGATTTGATCAACTGAGATACTGTTTCTGCTGTAAAATTTTGGCTGAGAGGTTATTAATAAGACTACTGTTGCAATCACTCTTCAGTTTAAGTCCTTCTTCAGTGGTATGAAAATGTAGAAATTCTAATATTTATTAATCCAGTTCTCTTAAATACAATATTTGTCTTGTACCATGCATGTGTGACCATGAGCCTGTGTAAGGATTTTACCTTTTTTTTTTTCACCTGTTAGCCTTGTAAAACAAATTAACTGCCCCAGGGACAGCAGCTGCTTTCCAGTGGGTGAATAAACCAGTGGGCCCTGCTCCTACTTAGTAGGATGTGACAACTTTACTCCAGCAGCCAAACTTCCCAACAGTTCAAGAAACAACTTGTTGGGTGACGTTAATCACATGTGTAGCTGTTTCCTGGCCGAGGCTTATTCTTTATCTTGCCATGAGGGTACTGAGGTGATGAGATGCTTTCGCTGTGGAGCTGGTAAAATCACGTTTGGTGAAGGTGTAGGTTTATTGATGCTGCATTGGGAAGATGAGGGCCAGAGATTGAGGATGCTGTTCCTGTGCCACGCAGAGCCCCAGAGATGCACTGAAGCACAGCCCCACACAGAGCTGAGATGGCACAGAGTGACTGGGTGCAGTCACCTAGAGCAATACTCCAGAACAGCTTCCTCCTGGAGCACAGCTGGGCCTGCTAGCACGGGTTAAAGCTCGCCTTGGCTTTGCTGGTAATGGTGATCCTTGAGATGTCATCTGAGGCTGACATCTGTTAACTTGTCCTCACCAAACCCACCTCCTGCCTGTGCTGTCACACTGTCCATTAGAGAAATCTCTAAGCACACTGTCCACTGATACATGCTGTAAATCATATATTTTATTAATAAAAGTACACAGAGAATACACTTTGTCAGGATGCTTTTTATACTCTTTCCTGCCCCTCCCCTTTTCTGCGTTTGCAGGTATTTTTCAATGAGTGCTTGGGGAGCTGTGTCCCTGTGTCCCTGTTCCTGTCCCAGTGGGATGGTGCTGGTCACTGCCTTCAGCTACTCTAGTCACACAGCGTTAAAGCCAGTGCAAATCTGCAGTTCCCAGTCCCTGAATGCCAGACTAAACACGGGGAAGGCATTCTCCTACCTGCACTCTTGTCCTGATGGGACTGAAATGCCACCAGCCACCTCTGAGGTGGTTTGTATTGACAGTGTGACAACAGCAGTGTCACTCGTGCCGCCAGTTACTGCTCAGAGTGAGGTGTTTATTTATTTATTTACTGCTCAGAGTGAGGTGTTTATCCAGCTGACAATGCCCAGGTGTGAGAGACCTGTGCCTCAAGGGCTTTGTCACTTCCCTGCCTGGGAAACACGCTGGATATGCAGCAGCACCTGCTCTGTTCAGGGAGGACACGATCATTTATTGCTTAACTACAGATCCTTTTAGTATCGGCCCGATTTGAAAAAGCTCAGGTAGTGCTGACAAGCAGAAACCTGTGGGATTTCCCCTCCTGGAGAGGGCTATGGATGATGGAATACCAATATTTTAATAGAAAATTTTATTGTCATCCTCTTCAGGCACAGCAGAGCTGGGAAGCGATTTCCTGTGTGCTGCTCTTCTGCTCTTCCCCTCGGGGCTGTAGAGGTGTTAAAACATCCTGGCTCCCATCAAACACTCCTTTTATTAAATAAAATGTGCCTCTTTTTGCCCTTCCCGTGGAATTGGCTGTTGTAAAGGGAAGGACAAGTGTCTTGGATCGAGGTTTCTTGGGAGTGAGGCTGCTGTGTAATGATTGTGGGCGTCTGGAGCTGTTTGCCTGCAGCAAACATCTTATTTAACTTGGTTTGGGCTTGTAAAGATAAGCGGTGGAATAAAACCAGTGTTCGTTTTACAGCTGAGAGAATAAAAACTGTGAATTCAATCTCTTTACAGAGTGAATTTTACCCTCAAATTTTAACAGTCTTTTTGCAAACAGGAAAACAGTCCTGGCTGGTTGAAATAACGCTTTTCTGAGCCGGGGCTCTCCACTAGGAGGCAAACGTTGCTGTAAAGAGGTTGAGGCTTCGGGTCACAGCGAGGTGTGGTCACTGTCCCTCAAAGTAACCTCCGGAATCAACAGCGATCAGTTCTTGCTAAATATGAAACGCTATAAAAGCGTGTCCAGGGTGGATTATTGCCGGGCAAAGTTCAGCCGAGGTGTGCAGGGAGAAGATCCCTTGTGCTGGGAGGATGTGTCCGGCTCAGGAAAGGGCGTTTTGTCGGCTCTGGGGAACAGAACACTAAACAGAGAAAATAAAAGTAATCATGGCATGTTTTAGACTTGAGAATCATGCAATGTTTTGAGTTGGAAAGGACCTTAAATCCCATCCAGTGCCACCCCCTGCCAGAGGCAGGGACACCTTTCACTGGCCCAGGTTGCTCCAAGCCCTGTCCAATGTGGCCTTGGACACTTCCAGGGATCCAGGGGCAGACAGAGTTTCCTTCTTTACTTGTTTCAAACATTTAGAAGACCTTAGAACCATGAGATAAAACAGTGGGATTATCTTGGCGCAGGTCACGTTAATTGTTTGATTTCAATTGACTTACAGGCCCTTTTTTTTTTTTTTCCCTGGAAGAAAAACCTTTGTACTGCACTCCGATACAAAAAGCTTTTCCCAGGAATCTGTGGCCATTGTTTCTCTATTAATATGTGGTTTTGTGTCCATCCAACGCTGCCATTGTCACAGCATTTTCCATCCAAGTATTCAAATTACAAACATTAATTTCATCATTCAAGTGCCTCAAGGAACCTGTGCAGTGGTTCGAGCACAGGGCTGAAAGTCAGGCCTTGTGAATGCTATTTCTGGCTCTGCATTGACTCACTCTATAATCTTGATCAATTTATTTCTGACTCAAAAATTTTAATAGTCCCACTTGACTGATAAATATTAATGCCATAAGTGTTGTGCTTCCTGAATGAGGGTGGTGACAAATGCTCATGTTAGCCTGTGATTTGAGGGTTGCAGAGTAGGATTGGCTTACCTGGGCAGGTTTTTTATTCGAAATCACACGTAGCTCATTGTTCTGATTTCAATCTCAAATGTTTCTGCAGCCCCTCCACCTGTAAACAGATGTTTTATCAAGTTAATTCAATTCTTTTTACTACTAATGTAGCTAATTTTCTCCCAGTGCTATCCCAGAGATGTCCAGATTTTCCACAGGGTCAGATATTTGATACAGTCATGCAAGGCCTGCAGTCAAATTGAGAAGTGTTGGTGTTACAAAAGATTTCAAACCTCCAACATTAATGTAGGTGAATATAAGAGAAGAAATACTTGTAACAGGTACTGCAGTACAGGATGATTGTGACACTTGTGCATACAAACTTTTTCTCTAGCTTAAAATAGTTCTGACACAGAAACAAGTGATTTCTTCACGTTTGTAATGGGGAGCAAATGAAGAACACTCACTACTGGAGTTGTGGCTGTGTGGCTTCACTCTGATGTTGTTGCTGTTACTGAACTCCTTCAGTGAGTGCAGTAATGAAAAAAACACGATTTATACTCTTGTGGCTGTTGATGGGAGGACTTTATGGTGTAAAAGGCTCCTCTAGAACTTTGGGGAAGCAAAATACTTATAGATACACGTGTGAGAGAGATGAGACTGAAGTCACAAAATTGCACCTGAAAAGTCTAGGCCTCCAAATAAACCTGGAAGCGACTTCAAAACAGAATGAAGAGAAGAAGATGAAAAGCAGGTGGAGGGTGGGAGGCTCAGGGGGACCTTGTGGCTCTGCACAGCTCCTGCCTGTTGCATATTCATATATCTCATACATGATGCATAAATTCCTTGCAAATTAAGAACTTTTCTGGTTTTTGTCAACTTCTTCTCCTTAATCTTGGTTGTCCCAAAAAAACAGAGAGAAGGTGGAAGAACGTTTGTCTTTTCTGATGAGGAGGCTATAACTTTTTATGGGTCCCCTTCTTGATTATCTCATCTTCCTGCTTGAGCTTGTAACAAATCCTATATAGCAGAGTTTCTATGTTGTAAGCTTAAACTATATTTAACACGCTACTTAAGAGAATTAATACAGCATAACTTTCTAACATCACACATATAACATTCACTGTATCATTTACGAAAAAGCCAATCATAACACAGGCGTTTTTCGCAATTAATAAAGGCACAAGCGGTGTTTATTTCGGTGGGGCCTTTCCCTCAGCGCCTCCCGCGCCCTCAGCGCCCGCTCTGCGCACGCGCGGGACGTGCGCGCCCACGGCTCGCGCCATGGAGGCGGAGGGCGGGAGCGGCGCGCGCCGCGCCTGCGCAGCCCGGCGGGGCGGGGCGGGGCGGGGCGGGGCGGCCGGGCCCGGAACGGAGTCCGGGTTTGTTGTTTTCTTTTTTTTTTTTTTTTTTTTTTTTTTTTTTGCCCCAGCGGCTCCTCAGTCCTCCTTTAGCCGCGCCGCCGCCATGTCCAGCCCTCAGGAGCAGCCGCAGCACAACAACAACAACAACCCGCCGGCGGACGGGACGCACGGCGAGCCCGGCCTCAACAGTGAGTGCGGGGCCGCGGGGGCGCGGGGGGCCTGAGGGGACGTGAGGGCCGCGAGGGCCGCGACCCGCTCGGGCCGCCATTGGCGTACGGGGGCCAATGGCCGGGGGCGGAGCGGGTATAAATGGCCCGGCGGCGGCCGCGGGGGGCTGAGGAGCAGCGGTGAGGGTCGTGAGGGGCCGGGCTGGCACCGGGCACCCGTACAACCCCCTCAGGCCCGGGCAGCCCCTCAGGCCCGGGCAGCCCCTCAGCCCCGTACAGCCCCTCAGCCCCGTACAACCCCCTCAGGCCCGGGCAGCCCCTCAGGCCCCGGCAGCCCCCTCAGGCCCGGGCAGCCCCTCAGGCCCGGGCAACCCCCTCAGCCCCGTACAACCCCCTCAGCCCCGTACAACCCCCTCAGGCCCGTGCAACCCCCTCAGCCCCGGGCAGCCCCTCAGCCCCGGGCAGCCCCTCAGCCCCGGGCAGCCCCTCAGCCCCGGGCAGCCCCTCGGCCCCCGGGCAGCCCCTCGGCCCCCGGCAGCCCCTCAGCCCCCGGCAGCCCCTCAGCCCCGGGCAGCCCCTCAGCCCCGGGCAGCCCCTCAGCCCCGGGCAGCCCCTCAGCCCCGGGCAGCCCCTCAGGCCCGGGCAGCCCCCTCAGGCCCGGGCAGCCCCCTCAGCCCCGTACAACCCCCTCAGCCCCGGGCGGCCCCTCAGGCCCGGGCAGCCCCGCAGCCCCGGGCAGCCCCCTCAGCCCCGGGCGGCCCCTCAGCCCCGGGCAGCGGCAGCGCGGCCGGGAGGGCCGAGGGGATCCGGCGTGGGTAACCCGGACTCCGGGCGCTGTGAGACTGCGGGACCCGCCCCGCCTCCTCTCGCAGGGGGCTGAGGGCGATCCCCCGAGGAACGGCCCAAGCTCGTTGCGTGGTTACGCGGAGTTTACCCGAGCGGCGACGATGGGGATACAACGGGGTAGGGGGAGGAGCGTGGCTGTGGGAATGAGTTTATTCAGTGGCTGAGTCAATAGCACTGACGTGAGCTAATTTCCCTCTATATCCGGCATCTCTGTCAGCTGCATCAGCTGCATTTTGTTCCTGGGGTAACACTAGTAAGGCACATCATGTAGGCTCTGGTACTTACTTGGCAAATGCTTTTCCTTCGTTATGAACGGCTCCTTCATGTGTGTCTGTTTTCATGTCTAAATTTTAAGGATAAAAAAGGTGAATAAATTGCATTAATGATTAACTGTAACCTCCATGGTTTATGATGCAGTTTAGCTGACCACAAAATAAACTCGTTGGTTGCTTTTCCATAACTCAATAGAAATCGTATGAAAGAAAGAATAAACTGTGCCCATTTCATAACGCTGCTATTGTGTTGTGGTAACACTGCATCGTGTGATAACCGTGGCACCTTAAACAATGTCACCTGAGTCAATAATCTTGGCAAATTATTCAGGCCTGTTATACTTAAATAACTATTGCGCTGTCAAAGTTGTGATGTGCCAGGTGCCTGACTCAATGCTTACTTCAGAAATGGCCATATTTGATGCCTCTATATTTTATATTTTTAATTTCTGGTCATGTGGTAATTCTGAGGGGATTATAGGAGCAACAAGAGCTGAGAGCTCTGTAAGCCAGGGATGGATCTGCCCATGGAGATCTTGCTGCTGGGGCAGCAGGTAGATGCTCACCCAGCTCAGTGATTGCTGGAGGAGTTGAGCACAAGGTAGGAGAGGAAATGTGTGACACTCTGTGCTCTAGGAATAAAACAAATGCACCCAGTCAGATGTTCAGCCTCTGCACAATGCTTTGGTGGGAGAGGTGCATTTCTGCCATTCTCCCATCTTTTCAGTGAACTTTTCAGGCTAATAAGCTGAGACACCCGTTCATGGTGTTCTGTGTGTCATGTGTGCCTGTTTAGGGCCTTTTATTCAAAGATCCCTTCGCACTTGGAGGGCAGAAGAGCTGAGAATAAAACTGGTAACCTGTGCTTTGTTGGGTTCATAGAGATAAAAAACCCACGTTGCTTGCTTTGGCAATTCTAGATGCTTCCTATATTTTAATTATTATAAAGCTCTGTTACATATTGACAAAAAGAAATCCCACCTTAGGCAAGAGCCCATCTAGCTCTGTCATGGAAAATCCGCTTAATAATTAGCATTGTGGGAGTCTGGTTGGCTTTCTTTTTCTTTCCTTTTTTTTTCCCCTTTTTGGTTAAAGTTGTACTTCATTGTAGACATGATATTTATTCCTTTATTCAGGCTGATCATGTCTCAGACTACTTGTAAGCTACTGATTGGTAGTAGCTTGGATAATTTTTATGTCTGTAAAATGTATACAGGTATTTAATTTATATATTACCTTTGATATTTCCACTTCATGCACCAAGCTGAAATCAGAGAGAATAAACAAAATGAGACCAGTCTTCCCCAACATGTTTAACTCCTGCTATTTAAACAGTCCACCAAGTTATGGAAAAACACAGAATTAAAGTCAGTGTATATAAATTAATAGTGGAATAATTAGCCATAGAGCAAAGCCAACATACAAACAATTTTGGAGAAAAATACCATTCATGTGAACAGTTTGTTTTTTTGTTTTTTTCTCCAGAGAGCGTGTCTTATGTGATTTGTGAAGGGAGGAGATGCTGCCACATTTCTTAATTCTATTGCTCTTAATTCTACCACTCCATTCTGCCACATTTCCTATTTTAGTATCAAGTAGAAATACGGTGAAATTAAAAGTTCTCATGCAGGTGATTTATGTACAAAAAAGCTTGGGGCAAACCCCATTCTCTGTTATTGGGCAGTTTATTCTCCAATACATTCCTCTGCATTTCTTTAAAGAAACAGAGATTTATGTCCCTCTAATGAGCCTTTGAAGCCAGTCATGTTCCCTGCTCCGTGTCCCAAAGCAGTTGTGAGTGCCAGTGGGAGGGGGTGGCGTGGAGCTTGATGGCAGATTATTCTTCCTTGAATGTATTTTGAGTCATTCCCGGTGAGGTCAGCTGGGAACGTGCTGCTCCTCATGTCAGCTGCTCAGCTCCCATGGACTCTTTACTCACAGCAGAATTTGGGATTTCTTCCTACTATGGCCACAGTGTGTTTTAGATAAATACAGAATTTGTCAGCCCGAGGTAAATCAGTAAAAACTTTATTTGTGGAGCTGTGTGTCAGAGTAAGGAGATCTGATCACCATCCTCTGTATGTTCTAGTGTCAGAGGAACACATCCCCTCACGCTTTTGCCCTCTGCTGTTTTTTTTGATCATAGATTGCTTTGCACATCCTGAGTTTTCCAATAGCCAAAAGTGGTTGTTGGGGAATATAAAGCTTTTTTTCCTAACTTAACTTTTGACCACTTGCTAACTGCATTTGCCACCTGCTTTTTTGCAGGTGTAGCCTCTTGCTGCTGCAAGGCAGAACAACCTTCCCGATGAAGCTCTTAAAAGTTTGGCCATTTTATTTAGGAATTCAGACAGCAGCAGTCATCACCAATCTGGAATAACACAGCCTCTGTCTGCTGCTGACTGAGCAAAGCTGCCTCTTCCCAGTTAACACTTGATTATCTGAAAAGCCTAATGTGCAGTGCTGAGCTGCTGCCTGCGTGCTCCCAAAATTCCCTGTTTGTGAATCCAGCCTGGGGAAACTAGGCTGGGAACCACCAGAGCATGGTGCTTCCATAGACAGCACTGTAATGGCATCGTGAATAATTGGTACTAAAGGAGAATTCCTCACCAAATCAAGTTGAAAACAGGCTCATTATTAGACATCCCTTCCTGTGTCACTGATGGAGCTCCCAGAGACAAAACCATGCTACAAAAAATTAGTGCAGGCACTCCCAGGTGCATTTCAGAAATCAAAAATCAGTGTTAAAATGTAGGACTTGTACAAATAATGCTCAAAATGTTGTATTTGTAGCTTCAGACTTGCTTTTCTTACTTGGATATTTTTACATCTGGGGGAAGATGTCCAAACTGTAAAAAATAGTTAAACCAAATACAAAAAGAACCCTGAAAACACCTACCTTCAGGTGGACTAAACTAAACTACAGAGGAGTTGTGGTGATATGTATCTCTAAAACCTGTTTGTTTCCAATTAAAACATATCACTAAAAAATGTATCAGAACATGCACTCCCATATTTACTTAATCTGCACATAAAGTATAAGGGAAATACATTTTAAAATAAAAATCCTCTCTTTATCTACACAGTGTTTGAACTTTTTAGCAGCTGCTCTTGTCATCCATGGTACACTCTTGCTCTTTGTGAATCTCAGTGCACATGTAGATGTCCCATGGGTAAAACTATCAAAAGGGAGAAAACCAGTAAATCAGAGCTTTATGAGAGATGCTTGTGCCAAGGCAAAGCAAGCTGAATGGGACCTGAGAATGGCAGCCTGCCTGATGTATAGAAATATCAGGTATTGATCCAAGGCCTTTGGAAGTAAAGAAAAGGAGAATATAAAGCTGTACAGAGGGGAGTTTTGTAGTAATCACATCCTGAAATTCCCTCTCTCGGACCTACCTCTCTGCAGCTCCTGCTCCCTTTGTGTCTATACTGTCTGTGTAAGTGGTCTCTCCACAATCCCTCCTCTTATTATCTTTGATTCCTTACTCTGTGTAAGGGATCTCGGGTTTTGATTTTGTAGTAGGGGCATAGGGATGAAAATTCTGTTTGAGAAAGGAATGTAGAACAGGGTGAGGTGTAATGGAGTGATCCATAGTTAATTGAAGCTCCAAACTGCAGAGAGATGTGGCTGATTAAAGTATTAATAGCTGGGGAGAAAGGAGACATTGACCAGCAGCAGAGTTAGGGAGGAATAATGCAGCTTTTG